AGAGAGAGAGAGAGAGAGAGAGAGAGAGAGAGAGAGAGAGACTATATATCCATATATATATATAGCTGGCCTGGAACCCAATATATAAAACAGGTTGGCCCTTGAACTCACAGCGAACAGTCTGTGTCTGCCTTGTGGAGTTCTGGGGTTTGTGCCACCATGTCTGGCCTACAATTTTGTTTTTTGACTTTTTTTTAACTCTAGCTTTTTACGTTCTAAATTATGTGTATAGGTCCATGTCAAGGCAGTGTCCACAGATGCCAGAGGTGTCTGGTGTCCCTGTAGCTGAAGTTTTGACTTTTGTGAGCTGCCCTATGTAGATGCTGGGATTGAACCCAGATCCTTTTCAGGAGCAGTACCTGCCCTAAACCACCAAGCCACCCCCACTAAACGACTCTCCTCTCCTCGTCCCCAGGCACTGGCAGCCTGCACTCAATGTTCCGTCTCTGTGAGTGTGGCTACCTTGTGTAAGTGACATCTCACAGTCACTGCCTGCTTTAAACAGCCCGGGGCAGGCAGCAGGCCCTGCATGGATGTGTCTACTTCAGACATAAACATCTTGATGCTTTCCTTTCTTTGTGTCTAGGGATGCTGGCTTTCCATTTAGGACAGAGACAGGTTTTCCTTTGCAAACACATAGACTGGAGTGGGAAACACAATTTGTATCGAGAGGCCCTCAGAACGCAGCATGGAGGAGGAGAGGGAGGGGCAGCCCTGCCCTCACAAGTGGAACAGCCTTTTGTGTCTCTAGTGCCAGCAAAAGAATGTGCTAGGTGCTGAACTCCGCACACCAGACCTCCCTGGGCTCCCTATCACCCCCTGGAAAGGCATTCTGAAGCGAATCCCTTTGTCCTCTCTCCTTCTCCGACCCATTTATTTGCACAGCAGAGCCTGTGTTTCCAGAGACTGGGCTGGAAACTCAAGAACAGGCCTAGTAGCTTCCAGTCTCGCCCTCCTTCTCCGAGACGTCTTCCTTTAATCTCAGTCTTCCCTCATCCCTCCAGGCTCTGAGTCAGCTTGAATTCCTTCCTAGGTGGGGTTTCAGAGTCCGACAAGCAAAGAGGCCAGGTTGATCTTTAAATTAGGAATAAAGATATGGGACAGAATGATGATGATGATAATAATATCGGTAGCAATAATAATAATAAACTTTTGAAGAGAACTTTCCACACAGGGAGCTTCCTGCAGTTGTTGTGCACAGATGTGGGCTCAACTTTGCCAAATTATTCCATTGTTCTATGACTCAGAAACCTTCATGCATATAGGAATTCAAATTTTTGCTATTTTTCAGTGGGCTGCCAGCACCTGTCTGCGTGTGACTTCTGTTGGCTGCCAGGCTGATTGTAAGTGGATTCCAACGTGACTGATGTTACTGACTGAGGGATGTTACGTACCTAGGCCTGGCACCCACAGAAGAAAGTGTCTATGGCTTTGCTGGCCTTGCTGGGGATGACCACTGCCTTGGGGACTCTGAGGCTCACTGCAAAACCTGGCCATACCCACTCTCTCACTCACTCATGACAGCCATGATTTTCAGTGGCATAAAATAAGAAATCCAATCCCAACTAGCTAAGTCAATACATGAAAATAATTGATTGGTTCCAGCATCCAGGAAGTTCCTAGTAATCCAGCCTTAAGCTTGATTGGACACAGGGACTCAACAAATCGGAAACCTGCCTCCAAACCCCCCACCCCCACCCCCCAGCTATGCTCTCCAGGAAGAGTTTTCCTCCAAAGCAGGTCAACTTATGTGGCAAGATGGCCTCGTGGCTGCAAGCCCACTTCCAGTCAGCCTAGCAACTCCTAAGGAATGTCATTGGCTCAGCTTGGGCCATGGGCCTGTGCATAAACCAATCACACAACCAGGAATGTGGTGCTCCGATTGGCCAAGGCCCTGTCTCCCATCAAAGTGCCCCAGAGGGTGGTGCTTAGGGAAAAATCAGGATCTCTGACCAGAAGAGTGAGCCGAGCCTTCTCCCTCAAGCCCCACCTCTGTTTTGCAGCTGTGTCTGTCTTCAGAAAGCCCAAAATGAGGAGATTTAACTCAAAGCTGGGGATATGGAGTTCAGGGACAGAACAAAGCACCCTTGTGCCTTTGCCCATGCTGAGGCAGTAAGTGTTTGCTGCAAATATGCCCCCCACACACACACCCAGTGTGCTTACACACCCTCACTTCTCCGAGTATCTGCAAATTAGCCTCTGATCCTTACAAACCAGGGCTTGGCTCACAATCCATATGCATCAGCCGCCTTCTCTTTTCTGTGCTACACTGGGCTGAAAGCGTGATTTTAATTTCCCTAGGAATTTTTCATTGATCCTCGCTTCCCACTTAAAGCGGCTTTGATTGGCTGTGCTCCCTGACAGAATAGAGTTAGGAAAGAGCTAGGACCACCGCTGTAGTCTCCCCACTGTGAGACTCAAGAGCAGCAGTGTGAGCTGGGTAGGCACAGCAAGGAGGCCTGGGGGAGCCCAGACTTGGGGGCCTCACTTTCCCTGGGCAAACTTCTCCAAACAGCAGGGCCTCTTAACTTTCTATTTAAACACGTTGAAGGTGGGCTGGGACATACCTCAGCGGTGAGATTACTTCGAATATGGGAGGCTCTGGGTTCCAGCCCAAGCACTGAAACACATACATACGCCACACACATACACACACACACACACACACACACACACACACACACACACACTGAGAGGAAGAGAGAGGCCTTTTAGGAGCTGGTGAAAGTTTCATCTATGAAGCCTGTCCAAGGCCCCCGTGTTAGAATAGCGTATTTTTTTGGACCTCCTTCTCTGTAACCCTCATATCCTGGCTCCTGTGTCTACCTCTTCACCATGAGCAGGGTTGCACAAGAAGCTAAACCAAACCCTCCAACTTGCCTTATGAATAGTGAACACATCTGGGCACCTGTTGGGTCAGACACTGTTGAAAAGCTTGGTGGGCTTGGATCCTCACAGCAACCCCAGGAGGCCGGCCAGTCAGAATCATATCCGTTTGTAGATAGCGGTGGGACATAGGGAGGTCATGAACTATCCCAAAGACTCATGGCAGACAGCAGCGCTACCCATTCCGTACAGCAGCTGGGTCTTGTCTCTAAGGCAATGTATGAGGGCCCTGGGTGCCATGCTCTTTCCCTAGTCTCTGTCAGACTGTTGTCTGCTTATGTGCTCTGGACCCCATTTAGGGAGGAAAGAAAATGAGCTCATACACCTCAAAGCCAACTGTCCCAGGTGGAATGGCCATCAGTGAGTTCTAAAGGCTTCAAGCTGCCATGCAGCGTTTTTCCTAGCTGGGGACAACTCACCGGACGCATCTTCTTCCATTAAGCCCCCCAGGCATGCATCCCCGCTTGAAGTCATAGCCCCCAGCAACTGCCAATCCACAGGACCGTCTCTCTCCCTAAAGGAGCTGAAATTAAAATCTGGCTTTACTTGGTTTTGATAGGTTTTTTGTTTTTTGGGGGACAGGGTTTCTCTGTGTAGCTTTGGAGACTCGTTCTGTAGACCAGGCTGGCCTCAAACTCATAGAGATCCGCCTGCCTCTGCCTCGTGTATGCTGGGATTAAAGGTGAGCGCCCTAAAAATAACGTCCTAATGAAAACAGGCCTACGTCAGACCACTGTGCTGCACTGAGTTCATGTCACTCTAAGGAAGATTGAGTTAAGCTGTAGAAAGTGCTGGGCTAGGAGAATGAAACAAATTTTATTTTGTTTTGGGTTTTTGTTTGTTTGTTCAAGTCAGGAGGTAAAGCATGTCCAGAACTCAGAACTTCCCTTGGCCCTTCCTGGTTGTTATCTTTACTGCAGATATAATTCTTGTTTCCACTACTCCGTGGCCATTGTTTTCCTTTACTGATGGGTGCTGAGAATCAAACCCAGGGCCTGTACCTGTAGTCACAAGTACTCTACCACCAGCATCTATTTATTTATTTATTTACTTTTTTTTTTTAATCAAGACAGGGTTTCTCTGTGTAGCCCGGGATTTCCTGCAACTTGTTCTGTAGACCAGACTGGCCTCAAAATCAGAGATTCACCTACCTCTGTCTCCCAAGTATTGGGAATAAAGGCATATACCATCACCACCTGGCTAATTTTTGCTTTCTTAAGACAGAAGATAATACAGCTCAGGATAGGCTCACTCTGTAAACCAGGCCGGCTGCAAACTCACTGAGATCTACCTGCCTCTACCTCCCCAGTGCTGGGATTAAAGGTGTGTGTGCCACTGTGCCGGTTTAGGTTCAAATTCTTTTTCTTTTTTTTTCTTTTTCTTTTTCTTCCCTGAGACAGGGTTTCTCTGTGTAGCCCTGGCTGTTCTGGAACTTGATCTGTAGACAAGACTGGCTTGAACTCAGAGAGTTGCCTGCCTCTGTCTCTACCTCTCCAGTGCTGTGATTAAAGGTGTGTGCTACCACGCCCAATCTGTGTTTTGTCTTCTTGAGTGTGGGATTCTTTCAGTGATTTGTGATTTTTATTATTTAGTCTTTAAGTCATCTATTTTATTGTTAGGACATGACGAATCTGGAACGTCCATTCTTTGTTGACGGAACCATAAAGAAAACTCTATCGCTGCTACAATAGAACATTTATTGAGCATTTACTGTAGGCCTGATTCATGTCTCCCTTAGCACAGCGAATGTAAACGGTTAGATAGCTGTGGGGGTTTTCGAGACAAGGTTTCTCTGTGGCTTTGGAGGTTGTCCTGGCACTGGCTCTGTAGACCAGGCTGGTCTCAAACTCACAGAGATCCGCCTGGCTCTGCCTCCGTAGTGCTGGGATTAAAGGTGTGCGCCACCACCGCCTGGCTGATAGCTGTGGTTTGTCAACCAGGGTCACCGTGGAATCGCATGAAAGAAATACTGTTAAATTCATGGGGATGGGCTTTAACTTTAAAGGACTTGGCGGAAAGTTGCATCCTGTTAAGTTACCATGTGCTGTTGTTACCAGCAGGTAACCATGTCATCTCAGCAGCCAGGGGCATCACCAGCGCGCTGGTCGGGACCCGCGGGAAGGGCGCGCCCAGCTTTGAGCGACAGCTGGCAGTCGCTGAGGGACAGGAGACAGGCTGACCCCGAGGA